CACCCACCCTTCTCTTTTTTTCTGGGGGGGGGAAAGGAGCTTATTTCTAATAGGAACTCAGACAAGGAGCTTGGGACTCAGGACTTGGCATCAAAGACTCAGTCTTGGATTTGAGTCTCGGACAAAGATTTGCCAACATCCTTGAGCAAAGTGCATGGAACTCGCATCCTCCACTTTTTATTGTTAAATTATTTGAGGCTTGAATAGGTTTTTATTTAGTATTTCTTAAACCCAGGGACAAAAATGACTCATCGGATGCTTTCAGAATGTTTCAGACAAACACCTCACTCAATGACAGATGCTGTTTCGATTTATTTATTTTTCCAGATGCCACGGCCGGGGGTAAGGTTCCTTCTCTTTGAAGCCCAACCAGTTGCGATGGCCGCTTCTCCAGCCACCTTTTGGTATTCAATGGGATCTAAAGGAAGGCTGAATGAGACTGGGAAAGTTAGGGGGATCCAAATGCAGGAAACCAACCCAGTAAAGAGAATCTTTCAGGAGATGAGAAGATTGCTTACTCAATAACAGCCGAGGCCTGCGTTTTGTGCTGAAACATAAGTCGACTTCCTGTCGGCTGAATGCCAGTTAAAGCAGCACTGGCTGCCAGCATTTATAATTGTAATAAGAAGAGGGGGGGGGCGAAATGTCCCGTAGTGTCAGATTCCTTGCTGTCAGGAGATAAGATATCATCGGTCACTGTGAAAGCGTCAAAATTCCATCTGACTGGGGTCCAGTTCTGTATCGGCATGGTAATAAAAGGATTATTATGTCCGGTAACCTATTTATGAAAAGGAAACAGTACGCTCCTTTCAGAAAGCCATCAATTGCTTTAATAAGGAATTGAAAAGCTCGCCCTACTTTATATGCTGACCACCATTTCAGTTGCATAAGGATTTACAATGGGGAAAAAACAAAACTGGTTTTGTTGTAAATAAGAGCAATTTGTTGAGGAGGAGAAGGCAGAGATGACTCTCCACAATTAAATTTGGGAGAAATCATTGGGGGGGGAATGATTTACAGGCTAATAAGTCTCCATCAGCCTTTTTTTTCCTTAATTAAAAACAAGTTTAATTAAGAAATAAGTCGACGTTGGAGACGGCTGTCGGGAAAGTTAAAGCAAAGACACCCCAAACAAAATAAAGGCATGGGAGTGAAAAAAATGGACATTCCTCAGTGGCACCAAGTGTATAACACTTGGTGTGGGTAAAATTAAATATGTATTTTTAAAAATGGGCAGGGCAAATATTTTTTGCAAAATGCTGGAGCTTGGCTTGATTTGTTAATTTTGTAGAAACAAGAATGTCTCCCTGGGGCATTAGAGGGGAAGGTGTCATAAATAAACAGAAACAGACGGATGGGGAGGATATATCTAAAGTTGATGTGCAAAATTGATTTATTCTATATGTCACCACAGAAAGCAGAGATAGGAAACTGTTAAGAAAATAATGATTCAAAGCAGTCTTTAACAACGGAGTCCCCCAAATGCTGTTAATAGTAATGTTTTCTTTTTCTTTTCTTGCTTTTTCTTTTCTTGCTTTCTGATTTTTTTTTATTGGTGAGTTTCCTACCATATTGTGATTTGTTTTGCCATGTGGGGGCATCTCTGGGATTTATAACTTTTGACTTGTAAACCTCCCAGACTAGAGTGTGCACTAGTGGGCTAATACATAAGTCGAATAACAGACTATTTCTTTCTCATATGAATGAAATGTTAAAATCTCTTCATAAAGAGGAACAAGCTCAAAGCATCCAGAGCAAATGTTCTGTGGCAGCAAAATAATGTGTGTTTTCCTCCAATTTACAGTATGTGTTTGTTGGTTTGTATTCTTGTATGTTTTCTGCCTTGGAAGATGGAGGAACTTGACTGTTCAATAAGAAGGGAAAATCCTTATACATTTCGCTATGTCCTGGTCTTCCTCCTTCACCTTTTTCTTACAAACTTAAATTGAGATGTGTCTGGCTCAGAGCTGGGAAGTAACTAGTTACAAACAGTTAAAAAGGTAAAGGTTCCCCTTGACATTTAGTCCAGTCATGTCCGACTCAAGAGTGCGGTGCTCATCCCTGTTTCCAAGCCGTAGAGCCAGCGTTTGTCCATAGACCGTTTCCATGGTCACGTGGCCAGCGCGACTAGACACGGAACGCTGTGACCTTCCCACTGAGGTGGTACTTATTTATCTACTCAAATTTTTACATGCTTTCGAACAGCTAGGCCAGGTGTTGGCCAGGAGCTGGGCCAGGTGATGGGAGCTCACTGCATCGTGGGGATTAGATCTTACGACTGCTTGATCTTTTGACCTTGCAGCACAGAGGCTTCTGTGGTTTAACCCACAGTATCAACACGTCCCTTTTTACAAACAGTTACTCATGATTAATTATTTTTTCAATAAGAAAGCATAACTGTAATAAGTTATGTTAGAGATTCACAGGGCATGTTTACTGTTTTTGTGGTGTGGTCCATTCTTCAGGTATAGTGAAGAAAAATGAGAAAGAGGCAATTTTGTAACTGTATCCATTTCAATCACTACCACAGAGGTATTAAACTCTTAACTCCAACAGCTTTTTCCTGTAGTGATGTACGGAAGTGAGAGCTGGACCATAAAGAAAGCTGACTGCTGAAGAATTGTTGCTTTTGAATTGTGGTGCTGGAGGCAGCTCTTGAGAGTCCCCTGGACTGCAAGGAGAGCAAACCCATCCATGCTGAAGGAAATCAACCCTGAGTGCTCACTGGAAGGACAGATCCTGAAGCTGAGGCTTGCAATACTTTGGCCATCTCATGAGAAGAGAAGACTCCCTGGAAAAGCCCCTGATGTTGGGAAAGTGTGAAGGCAAGAGGAGAAGGGGACGAGAGAGGACGAGATGGATGGACAGTGTGATCGAAGCGACCAACATGAATTTGACCCAACTCCGGGAGGCAGTGGAAGACAGGAGGGCCTGGCGTGCTCTGGTCCATGGGGTCACAAAGAGTTGGACATGACGAAATGACTAAACAACAACAACCAACTAACTAGGCATGAAAACTGTAACAAACTTTTAACTGTAATTAACTTTCACCAATCAGGTTTCCAAGCTCTGAGTTCAGGCCTAACTGGAAGTCATACCTTTTTGAATGGAACCAAGGAAAGCTACTTTTTCAAACTAGATGCTCCAGGATCCCTGAGCCAGACATGTCAACTGAGACATTCTGGAAGTTTTTAAACCTGAAAAAGAGAGACTCACCCAACCTCTGGCCTTGACTGGGAAGACACAACTCTAGCAATTGACTGAGGTTCAACAGTTAAAGATGTTGAAAGAAGGAGGACAGGTAACAACAAGAAACTGCATCCAGAAGTACATGTAAGGAAGGAGGACTTACCAAGCAACACAGGTCTCATGAAAAACTACAGCCTGAATCCAGTCACTGAGCCCTTGCTAAAGTAGACCCATTGAATCAATGGGATTTGCTGACAATATTTGATAACTAATCTGAGGCTGAAATCATGCTGTGTAGTTGCTACAAGAGTTGTCCCACCAAATCATTGAAATCTGTAGAAGAGTTGACTCACCCAATCCCCACTAACTCAATTGTGCATACTGCAATTTACTATGCTACGCAACATGATTTCAGCCAGTGAATCTCCCCCAGTTGGGACTCACACTTGGGTTTAGGCCTGGTGTTTAGTTTTCCCACTGCCAGAACCTTTGGATCTTAATCAAAGTATATATGTATCGATGGTTGTTGTGGGGTTTTTGAGCTCTTTGGCCGTGTTCTGAAGGTTGTCCTTCCTAACATTTTGCCAGTCTCTGTGCATCTTCAGAGGACAGCACTCTGTGCTCTGGTGTAGTTAGCTTGGTGTTCTCTGTGCTCTGGTGTAGTTGGTGTAGTTGACTCCCAAGCCAACTACACCAGAGCACAGAGTGCTATCCTCTGAAGAGGCCAGCCACAGAGACTGGCGAAACGTTAGGAAGAACAACCTTCAGAACATGGCCAAAGAGCCCGAAAAACCCACAACAACCATTAGATCCCGGCCGTGAAAGCCTTCGCGAATATATCTGTATCATTATCAGATTTATTGAAGATTTATGCTTATTTATCTCCTAAGGGCTCTCACAGCCAAAATAATGGGGAAAATTGAGTAAATGATCAGAACACGGCCAAGAAGCCCGAAAAACCCACAACAACCAACGATCAGAACATACTTGGGAAAGCACAGCTATAACATTTTATTTCCTGGGGAATTCTATGGGAGTTCAGAAATCTTTGACTTTGGGCACGTTTTCAACCCCACTTACCAAACATTTGACCACAAGATCAGAGCTTCTTGGCTAACTTATTTGATCACTTGTAGGTATCTATCCATTTTTTGGACATTTGGCTTGGGTTTACAAGGCATGGATTTCCCAAATTTCTCTTTCTCACCACGAGTTAGCCAAATAGAACACCAAAGCTATTTTTGAAACAAAGGCAGGTTCTAATCTAACCCCTGACAATATTTCACAGCATTTTTTGATCCTCCAGGAAGTCCATTTCTTTCTTCAGGGGGATGTATGATAAACCCTATTGGTCGCAACGTTTACCACAAACAAAACATTATACCTGCAAAGAGATTTTTCCCCTCCCATTTCATTTTTTTGTTTCATTTTGCTACTTACCCCATCACGAGAAATGTAGACTCTTGTCATTAAACGTATAAAAATATCTAACTTTAATGCAGAAAAAAATATATTACAGGTAAAGTAATGTTCTCTTAATTAGGCAAAGAACCTGAAAAAACACGGAACATTATGACGGGTGTTAGAGTTGCAGCAGAAAACAAAGCTGGCAGATTTGTTGAGCTGGCTGCGTCCATGTCACGTTAAATGTCTGTTTTGTTAATGAACGTCTCCCTCTCTGATGAGACAGCTCTGATGCCGGTCTCCACTGCGAAATTCTTAGTCCATTTCCAATGTAAAAGAAAGTCTGGAGAGTTTGGGAAGAGGACTGGAACCAGGATAGGGCAGATTTTACAGTTCCATTTATTTTAAAAAAAGGTCTCAGAACTAGACTCACAGAAAGAGGGGCTGGGATAGCTGGCACTTTGGCAGCCAGCCCCCTTTCGACGGAACGCAGCCGACAGGTAGCTCTAATTTACATGTTTGTTTCAAACCTTCAAAAATACAATACATTAAAATAGATTCGGATTTATCAAAGCTAAGCGTGACAATTAAGTAATAACGTACTTAAAGTGCGAAGGCACTTTAACAGCACAAAAAAAATAGAAGGTGACGCCCAGTGGCTGTAGTCGGTAATTGAAAGAGCTGTACTGGCAATATTATTTACAAATAGGAGGAAGGAAGGAAGGAAGGAAGGAAGGAAGGAAGGAAGGAAGGAAGGAAGGAAGGAAGGAAGGAAGGAAGGAAGAGATGTAGGTTCTACCTTATGGAGGAAGAAAAGGAAAAATAGAAAATATTTGGATATCATCAGTTTAATACATGGTTTTTACCTTTCAAATCCATGTGTATGTTGTGGGACAGCAGGGAAGAAAACCTTTTTTCTAACACCCTTCTATTGCCCTACTGTGCAAGGTCTTGAGATGTTCTCCAGCCTGCTTTGCTGAGGAATCACAGATCCTTAATAAGAACAGGGCCCACCGACTGCAAGGTTTTTTTGCTCTGTGATTCGTTCTATCCAGTTCCTCAGGCCCAAGAAGAACATTGAAACAATTTCTCTAGTAGAAACATTCAATCAGCTCCAGTTTCAGAAGAGCTGTGGGGTGGGTCAGGGAAAGAGATGCAAGAAATAAGTTAAGGGGGCATCACTATTTAAAAAAACAAAAGCACCCATCATAGCCCTGGCGTTATATAAAGATTATCTGAGGACATGGGAACAGTTGAGAATGAGACACATCAGGTCGGTGTGCCAAGTTCAGAATTGGGTTAGTTATTTTTTGAAAGACTTTCCTCCCTTAGTAAAGGAATCCCTGGGCTGTCCTTGTTAGCGCCCCCCTCAAAAAAAGAAAAAAAGAGCACAAAACAAAATCCTTCACAGCTGGCTAATGGCAGTTTGTTTTTCCAGAACTTCGAGGTAGTCTGGTTCGTTCTGTAGTTTTCCTTGGAGTAAAGGAAGCTCAGGTTTGGATTGTTCTGTAAAATATTTCCGCGGAGTCCCGTACAAAACCGTTTTATTTAGTCTGTCCTGGTTTTGACGCCTCGACTCGTAGGAAGGGGCGAACTGCCTTTTGGGCAGAGTGCAAAAGTTATAATGGACAAGGCTTCCACTCGGCAGCTCCTTCACCCTTTCCACAATGTTTTGATACAACAACTCCGGCTCTCTGGAGAAGGCCTGTTTCTCTAGCATCTCGGCAGCTGTGATTGTAAACGCTAGGCTAGCCGACTCGTCCTTTTTCGGTTCAAGGTTACTATAGCTATACTCATGGAGATTTCTGTAGTAAGCCACCGGATCACCTTCCTTCTGCATATAGATGGGATTCTGGCACATCTGGCCCACCGGAGGCGGGATGTAATTATACACGTGTCCTTCCGCTTTGTCGTGGACCTCGCTGTTGTAGCAACCATACTGCAACTGGAAGGAGCTTATGTCGAGGTTGTTGGTGCTGCTGGGGACACTTGGCATACCCTTGCGGCGTTTCAGGACGAAGACAAAGAGGCCAGCCCCGAAACAGACGGACAAAATGAACACCACCAGCAGGCCCAGAATTAAGACAGAGAGAGGGACTTCAGTGTGCATTTCTGGATAAGAACTGGGGAAGATACTGAAGGCCAGGGGTGTATCTGTGTTTGGGTTTGGTGAGAAGAAAGAGGAGTCTAACATGTTGGGGTTCTCCGGGCAGATGGCGTCCTTGCTCAGGGTCTTGAGATGTTCGCCAGTGTGCTTTGCCGGGGAATCGCAGATCACTTCGTTAATGACAACAGGGGCCCCCGACTGCCGGTTGTTCTGCTCCGTGACTCGTTCGATCCAGTTCCTCAGGCCCAAGATGTCACAGGTGCAATCCCAAGGGTTTTCTTGAAGGTCAATCTGGATCAGAGCCGAAAGCTGGTCAAGGACCCCTCGGACAGGCAAGTAGGAGAAATGATTGTTCCGCAAGTTGAGTCTTGTCAGGGTGGTGCCCCTAAACACATTATCAGGCAGCGATCTCAGCAAGTTGTTGTTGAGAAACAAGAGGTGAAGGTTTCCCAGTGCGTTAAAGGTGCGTGGCAGGATATCTTTAATCACATTGTACTCTAAATAGAGGTACTGCAAGTTGTTCAGCCCTTCGAACATGGAAGGATACAGGATCTCAAGGTAATTGCCATTGAGATAAAGTCGGCGTAAAGTGGTGAGATTACAGAAGGCACCTTCTTGGATCACTGCAATCCTGTTGTTCCCCAAATGCAACAAATCCAGGGAGCTGTATTCCAGGAGATCTGTTTTGTAGATAGTTTGCAAATAATTGCTGGTCAGGTAAAGTTTCTTTGGACTGGTGGGCCGAGGGTGGAGATCAGAGATGTTCCCAATTTTTTTCTCTTGGCAGTTGACATTCAACCCATTGTCCGAACCTTGGGAAGTGCAGACACAACCAGCTGGGCAAGTGAGTGGCACAGGGGACTTTGTCTGGTAAACCATGATAGGTCCGAAAATTTGCCTGTCTTTAGACACTGTGACCCGGGGTGTTGGGCGGTTCCTCGTTTTAGGTGGGCGGCTTGCTTTGGGGGCCTTAGTAGCCCCAACAGCAGAGTTAGCTGTTGGAGGATACCTCTGGATATGTGTGTCTGAGTGGGAGGGGTGCCTCTCTCTCTGGTTAGAGTCACCAGCACTTTTCCGAGGACAGAGATCCTGTCTTGTGAGTTGGGTGACATCTTTCCCATGCAACCTGAAAGGGGTTTCGCAGACGATCTCCCCAACGAAGACGGTGATGGTGTCCAGCCAAGCTTTGAGGGGCAGAAGGTCACAGGTACAATTCCATGGATTCTCCTCCAGCTGGATCTCCATGATGCCACCAATGTGCTCCAGGACACCAGCGAAAGGCATCATCTTCAGCCTGTTCCCTCGGAGGTCCAGGTGGGTCAGGAGAACAAAACGGAACACATTGCTAGGAAGCGACAACAGGAGATTGTCGTTGAGGATCAACACCTTCAGCTTGTTGAGCTTGCTGAAAGCTCCGGCCTCAATAGAGCTGATGTAGTTGTAGTCAGCCTGTAGATATTCCAGGCTTTCCAAACCCAGAAAAGTGTCCTCCCGTAGGACCTCCAACTTGTTGTTGTTGAGGTGTAGCCTCTTAAGAGTCCGAAGGCCAACAAAGGCTCCGGTCCGGATCTCTTGCATGTCGTTATTGCCCAGGTGAAGGGTCACGGCGTTGGAGTAGTTGACAAATTCGTTGGGGTAGAGACGGGTGAAGGCATTTCCATTGAGGAAGAGTTGATAGATCTTGGACGGTGGAGGCAGGAGGAGGCTGACGGTTGTAAATCCCTTGTTTTCGCAATTAATATTCAGCACGTTCTCTTTCTCCTCGCAAGGGCACCGGCTCTTACTGCAAATGTCTTTGGCAGGTTTGCGGCTCTCCGTCGGCAAGATCCCAGCCACTGTGAAGACGCTCAGCAGCCAAACACCCTTCAGCATCTTTATGCTCCGTCAAGCTCAGCCTCAGCACCTACGGTCAAACCTGAAAGAAGGCATGGAGAGAGAAAGCAGAACCCCGGCTTAAAACAACGACCTCATCATCATCATCATCCCCATCATCCACAGTCCGAACATTACGAAAAATCAGGCCATCTGGGGAGGTGGAATCAAACGAAAGAGAAAGGAAGCAAGCTGGTGGCAAATGCCCCACAGCTGCTTTCCTTCGGACTGGTTGCAGAACCTCTCCGACTCAGAAGTACATTTTCGCCTTTCCCATCTCCTCTAACATCCCCGGCCTCTCCCTTGTACGTTGGACTTCTTCCCAGCCTCCTCAGCAGCTCACTCTTCACTCCCTCCTCCTCTTCCTCCAGTTTTTTCCTATTCATGGCCAGAGCTGTGCCCCAGCCCCCACCCTGAATTCCTAGGAAGGGGAGGAGAGGGAAGAGAGAGAGAGAGAGAGAGACATGGGAAGCAGTTAACTTGCTAACAGACCATGCCCTACTTTATTCCTACATCCCTGCCTTCCCTCTGCTCCAGCTGGTTGCATTGCCAAGAGCAATCGCCAGACTTGGCACTTCCATAGTTCTCTCCTCCTCCTCCTCCTCCTCCTCCGGTCCCTCCCCTCCCCCTCGATTCATGAGCTCCCCCTTGCCATGGGAACCCTATCTCGGGCTCACACTGGCCTCTTTTGTGCCTGGCAAGAGAGCTCCGGCTCGTCCCTTCCACACAGACACCCTCCACGGCTTGGCCTCCACCCCCCACCTCCTCACCCTTGTTTTCCACCAGAATGAAAAGCCCTCACCCCTGCAACCCGACTCAGCCTGACTCTTTCCACCCCAGTCTCTCAGGGAAGGATCCCATCAAGTCCCCAAGAGCTGTAACCAGCGCCTCAGCTGGGTCCTGTCCTTTGCCAGGAAAGCAAAGGAAACAGAATCTCAGGAAGAAGGGGGGGGAGCACTCTTCTTTCTCTTCCTCTCCCCTCCTTTTTTTCCCTGCATAATTCAATCACTGCTTATTTCACCAGCAGAGAGATTAGCACGGAGGACTCCTTGTCATGGACCCAAAGCCCTTCAAGCCTCCATACAACAAAGATCTTCTTTTACTTCAATAGACTCTGCACAGCGAAGGCTTTTCCCTCTTAACTCTCCTTCTTTCACATCTTCCACCAGGGTGACGGGAGAACAGCCCTGCAGTGTCTGGGCTCCGCCAGAGTTGGGGGGAGGCATGAGGGCGTCCTCCCCACTTGCCAAAGGAAGCCTATCCTGACCTCACACTGGCTTCTTTTGTGCCAAGCGGGAGCTACGCTCATCCCTTCCGTCCTGATAACCCCCCAACCCTCCAACCCCCCCCCACCCCATGGCTCTGCATGTCAAGTGCTCCTGGTTCTCCTTGCCCCCCATCTCTTGACCTTCACAGCTCTCTGTGGGCCCCCCCCCGCACTTTGCAAAACCCCATCTGGGTCCATTCTCCCTGCCCTTCTTTGGACTGAGAGTTGATCCAGGGGGGGTAGGGGGGGTGGGGAGGAAGGGGAAGAAAGCGGAAAGATCCAACACAACTTGGATGAGTTGCCTCTTCCACACACACACCCCAAAAAAATAAGAGAGAAAGGCATGTAAGAACGAGGTCCCCCCCAAACACATTTTGGAAACTCTGCACCCCTAAACATCATCATTCCAAACTCTCCACCACTACTCCACTCAGACTGTTACCAGCAGGGAAGGGAAGCCAAGAGGAGAGAATGAGAACCAGCAAAGTCTCCTCGACCACAAGGAATGGAAATTCACCCTCCCGGGTGAAACCCCAACATCCTAAGGGCTTCGTTCCCCCAAAACCCTTCTCCTCCACATCCTTGTTTCTCCCTGTCTTTAATCCTTCCTTCCTTCCCTCTTCTTTCTTTCTTTCTTTCTTTCTTTCTTTCTTTCTTTCTTTCTTTCTTTCTTTCTTTCTTTCTTTCTTTCTTTCTTTCTTTCTTTCCTTCTGCGTGTGTGTGTGTGTGCGCGCGCCCCCGCGAGGAGTCACTTTGGGTTTTGCGGTTCCCTTTGGCCTCTCTTAGGGAGAGAAAGCCCGCGTCTGTGCGTTGGCCGGGTGCGCGCAAGGAAGAAGGAGCCTCCAGCGATATTAACACCGCTAAGCCCTTGTACCTTGTGCAATTCCCCCCCCTCTCTCTCTGTTTCCCCCTCCTACT